GGCTAAAATCAAATACCTACCTACTCAGTAGAGTGCTCAATGCCTAGACAGAGCAAAGCGCTTAACGTTAATTCCTATGAAAATATGGCTCTAGTCGTAATCAGAGTTTCACGCTCACACAATCTTCAAACTATTTGAACGTTCAAATTGTCTGAAGATCGCGTGTACATGAAACTCTGGTTACAACTAGGGCCATATATATATATATATATATATATGAGTGCATATAAAGACAAGAAGAAAAGTTTTTTCGTACTGACTTTTTACAGATATTTTATTTATCTGATTTTTTTACGCACACACATACAATTAATACAAATATAAGATTTGTCACTTAGCTGATTGGTGTTACCTCTAGAATTTTGTTGACGGGCCTTCCAGCAATCATTCCATTCACTCGTCAGTGGATATCAGAAGTCGACTTTATTTTTTCGTTTTTTTTTATATATATATGCACTTTTCATCGGTGCAAGGTTGATTTTTTTTCCTTTATTGTGCGTGTGCGCCCGCCTCTGCGTAGAATATATATATATATATATATATATATATATATATATATATATACACACACACACACACAGGTTGCTCCAATAATTTGGGGCGATTTTAAATGTGAATTAAGTTTGAGCGTCTAATGCTTTCTTTTTTCTTTTAGATTTAACAACTTAAGTCTTTGTTAACTTTTCCATGATTGAATTTGCCAATCAAACGTGTTAAAGTTATCAAAGCTTATTACGAAAATGGACTTTCAAACAAAAAAAAAAAAAGTTCCCAGGTAGCATCATCTCTCGAAACAGTGAAGTCAATTGGCCACCATGATCTTGCGACTTGACGCCTTTTACATTTCTTCTTTTGGGGTCATCTCAAAAGTAAGGCCTATGCCAACAACAATTCATCAGTTGAAGGGTGATATCATAAGGCATATTGGTAAGATCGAAGAGCAGATATGTAGAGACATCATCAAACATTTAGACCATCGGGAGGAGGTGTGCTGCTGAGGCCTTGGCGGGCATTCGGGCGATATTTTTTTCACACATAATTGCCATGGCTTAAATAACATGATCCAACAGAGAAATAAATAAATTTTCAACAATAACACCGATTTATTTGCTGCTGACTTTGATCCGTCTTAATGAAACACCCTTTATATATATATATATATATCCAAAAAAAAAAAAAAAAAAAAAAAAATCAATTTTGCTTGTTGCTGTTAATGTTCTATCTTTTGATATTGAGCACTTTAATTAAAATTGTTTGCTTGCCTTAAAAATGTTATCCTTCAGAAATACACTGATCGACCGATTTAAAAAAAATTATATGCTCTATCGATATCGAGCTATACGCCTACAGACGGCTTGTCTTAAAATGTTATTTTCCAGAAATACCATGGTCACCTTTTTCTTTTTTTTAACTCATTGATAGGAAATATCCGAACAAAGTATTTAAGATGGAAATCGTGAAAACGTTTTTGTTGTTTTTAAATCAAAAACGAAAATATGTTAACGTTTCTTTCTGTGAGAGCTTTTTAAAACTATGGAGGAAATAAATCGTTACCATAGTAACACTGCTATTTAAAACGCTGTAGATAATTAGAAAAATTTTAACAGTTAATAAAAATTCGTGAACATATCAATAAGATTTGTATATAGAAACTATATTAAAATAAAATGTTAATATGGTGAATTGTTGCAGGAAAATAAAATAAAGGAGAGTTAAGGTGAGAAAAATAATTTGTATAGATACCAAGAAAATAGTGATTACTATATTTGTAAGAAATTCTGTCGTCCAAGTATTTTTATATCAAAAAGATACGAACGTCCGAATTCGAAAAAACAATAAAATAAAGAAAAGATGGGTATGCTTGTTAAATAAATCAATTGTAGTTACGAACGTATGTCCATGAATTCAAAAGGATAAAAAATAGCAAAAATAGTCTTTCGTTGAGTTAAAGTTGGTTCACAGAAAAAAAAAAATAAGCTGTGGTCGAGAAAAGACTTTGGTCGTGAGCGAAGATTCACTGACAGTCTCTGTTGTTTTTGATAATTTGTTGTAAGTCACCGATACACGTTTCTTTCAGCAAACGTTAATGATGGAGTGGAATGAAAGCTATGTAGGCACATTTTTTTCTTGTAGGTGTTTGAACGGTTCGGAGTCTCCGAAGCAGAGATGCGACTGAAAATCGAAATCTGTGAGGTTTTATAAGATTTTTTTCCCAGAAAGTAGGCTCGAGAAAAATAGGGTTTTAATTTTCTCTGATCAAATATTTCACACGGTGATGTTAATTTCCAACCAATAGGCACTTTGATTTGTGTGTGTTGTGTAATCTTGTTGGCATGTTTGTAAATATTGTCTGTTAGTGGGTAGAAAATAAAATTTGAACGGGTTTTAATATTGTATGTAGATATTTAATTATATTGGAAATAGGGTTTATTTCCTATATATTTATAGGTGTTAAAAGAAAGTATGGGTTTTCTTTAGATTTGTTTTAATCGTTTTGAAAATGCCTCTACAGTTCAGAGGCAAACATTAATAAGGAAATAATAACATTTTAAACAGCCAAATATATAAGAAGTTACATTCCCAAATTTATAATGAAAGTATTAATCTTTCAAAAAGATTCCCGCTTATCCGAATCTAGGTCGACATATGCTGAGCGCCGATTGCTCATTTGAAGATTTCATTTTATCATCTTTCATTTGTACTCGAGAACAAGATTAGACCAGGGAAGATACAAAGAGCATTGATGTTTATACGTTGCATTAAATGACACACAAACTGTGTTAATTTTAGTAACTTTTAAGAAACTGTTTTCGTCCAGGGACACAGATCTTATCAGCATTCCAAAGATCGCAGAAATAGAAAAAGGAGATTAATGTTAGATACGGTCTGGTTGCAATGAAACCTTTCCATCTTCTGCAAAGACATAAGTTGTGTGTGTGTGTGTATATATATATATATATATAAAATCTTCACGTTGATCTGCTATTTTTGTAGAACTATTTTCTTTTTATTTGAGTGACAAGCCTATCAATACATCAGCGTATCACAAATTTAGCGGATAAATTCCTCTTTGGAAGGATTTTCAACGCAGGCTTATCATCTCTCAGTTGTGTGTCTGTCTTTGGGCAGTCTGCGCTCAGGGGCTTCTCTGTCAAAGGACAGATGGGCAAAGATGTGGCCAGCCCTGGGTAACAGCTGCCCGAGGTCGTGCCCTCTCATTGCACCAGAGGGAGGGATCGGTGCTCGCACCGAGGCCGACGCAACCGACGGTTGCCGGGGCTGAGGGCAATTTTTGTCCTTGTCCCGGGCGTACGCGCCTGGGTCCCCACCTAAAAAAGACCTTGTGTCACATCTCGTCCAAGTGTGTGTGGGGGGAGTAATTAATACTGTGTATCACAAATTTCTTGTCTCATCTTCAAAATCTCGTTTTGAATGAAAATAAAAGCATAAAAGAGTTTTTCTTTCTTTTAAGTTTGGATTCGAACAGTAACGCGTTCGAATCTGACGACTTTGTGCACGGCACATGAACAAAATAGAATAAAAGAATCAGCGCCCTAACTGGGGCGACTAATAAATAAAATAATAAAAATTGAAAGTACTAAACTTTATCCCGAATACTGCCTCTCTCACACACACAATATAATTATCACTTGGGACGTGAAACTGACAGTCACCATACAGAGTTGCTTCCGAAGTCCATATTATCTACATCTACAAACGCTTTCAGCTAAGCAAATCTATATATAAAATTCTGTGACTTCCGTTAGTTCGTTCTCACACCCTCTAAAATAGCCAAACATCGACCGATCGAAACCAAATTAAAATGATGTCCATTAAAAAATTATTAAACCGCGAAGTAGGATTTTTGTCAAAGTATCATTGATTGGTTTGCCAAACTGAACGAAACGTAGAGTTTGTAAAGCTCGACTAAAATGTTAATGATAACTTCAACAAGGATTTCAACACACGTCAGAGTGTTGCAAACATTCTAGTATAGTAAATTTTAAATAATATATACATGAGGGAGAGAGGTGAAGGGATGTGCTGTATACTTTCCAAAATTTGACCAAATGACCTGACATAAAAAAAAAAAAATTGTTACTTGTTAGATCATGCGATGTGGGTCGGACCAAGAACTTCAGCACCTTTGCGTGTATGTATGTATGTATGTATGTATGTGCGCGTACGTGCGCACACTTGGAGTGTAATTTTAATTGTAATAATTTAGTAAATTAAATCAAACTGAATGATGTCAATAATTAAAATATCGACATAAAAAAAAACCGATGTAACGTCAGGCATAGATCTCATAGTTTCTGATCTTGATTCATGTGAGTGTTTTGTCTTAGTGAAACAAGATGGGCAACAATAACTACTCCATTCAATACAAATGAGTGAATGCAACAAACTCTCCCAGAAAGAAACACAGAAATCGGCCTGAGTGAGTGAGAAGGGTGATCTACTGGGAATATACAAAGTAATATTATATTTAAAAGCCAGAATCACAATCACAAAGTCATCTGAGACATTGACAGTCAAACTGATTACCCAATCCAACATGTATCTAATTATCAAGAACAAGGAGAAAATAACGAAAGTGGATTTCTTCCTTCTAGCAGACAACAGAGTTAAATTATAAGAACTAAAGCTGAATAAGTCCGGAGACCTCGCTCGAGAGGCTTAAAAATTATAAAATACGAAGGTGGCAGGTGTATCCATCGTTGTCGAAGGGCTGCGAATGACCTTGAAGCGACAGCAGAATTAAGACCGAAACTGGAGCACTGATGAAACTTGCAACTTTATCACCAGCGTAACCTATCAGTTAATATAGCCGTCAGCACAATGAGTGAATAAGAAATAGTTTATTCAAACCCAGTTAGATAATGGTAAGCCTTATTTTTGTCTATCAAAGCTTCTCGATAATAGCGGATTCTATCAAAGCAGAAGCTTTGATAAAATCCGCTATTATCGATTTTATAGATCGGTTGAAGTTAGGTAGCTTAATGATGACAGGATGGAGAGAAAGCGAAAGAAAGAAAAGAAAAAAGAAAGAAAGAAAAAAAGAAAAAAGAAAAGAAAGAAAAAAGAAAGAAAGAAAGAAAAAGAAAGGAAAGAAAGAAAGCGAAAGAAAGAAAGCGAAAGAAAGAAAGCGAAAGAAAGAAAGCGAAAGAAAGAAAGCGAAAGAAAGAAAGCGAAAGAAAGAAAGCGAAAGAAAGAAAGCGAAAGAAAGAAAGCGAAAGAAAGAAAAGAAAGAAAAGAAAGGAAAAAAGAAAAGCGAAAGAAAGAAAGCGAAAAAGAAAGGAAAAAAGAAAGAAAAGAAAGAAAGAAAGAGAAAGGAAAGAAAGAAAAGAAAGAAAGAAAGAAAGAAAGAAAGGAAAGAAAGAAAGCTCAAGAAAGAAAGGAAAGAAAGAAAGGAAAAAAAGAAAGAAAGAAAAAAGAAGAGAAAGAAAGAAAGAAAGGGAAAGAAAGAAAGCGAAAGAAAGAAAGCGAAAGAAAGAAAGAAAGAAAGAAAAGAAAGAAAGCGAAAGAAAGAAAGAAAGAAAGGAAAGAAAGAAAGAAAGGAAAGAAAGAAAGAAAGAAAGGGAAAGAAAGAAAGAAAGAAAGGGAAAGAGAAAGAAAGAAAGGGAAAGAGAAAGAAAGAAAGGGAAAGAGAAAGAAAGAAAGAAAGAAAAGAAAAAGTCAAACGGTAGAGAGAAAAAAAAAACTACATGCAAACTATTAGAAAACAGAAAGAGAATTTTTAAAAAAACTCAAACTGCACAAAGGATCTACGTCTACCTTGTTGACTCTCAGACCAGCCGGATCTATATCTGCCTATTAGTTTATTGTTTGTCCTGTAAGATTATTTTCAATATAAAATTCCCCAAGCTTCGTGTTATGTTCTACATATCTCTCCATGTATTACCAGTTATAGTACAGTTCTCCGTGTCCTGAATAGCAAACAGGTTTGCTAGGCATTAGCCCTTATGTTCGCTAGTTGTTTTCTATTTATACTTGGCATGATACTACACCTCCCTGAATCAGAGAGGTCGTATACCCTTGTTTTTCTTTTACTATTCCTGATTATTTTCGTACTGTGCTGTCCTTCCTCTTGTCTCTCTTGTTTTCTCTTTAAATGGTGATCTCGGTCTCTTTATTTTCTTCTTTATACTTGTCTGTCCTTTCATTCTCACTTTCTTCCATTTCCTGCTCTGTTCCACTTTTGTGACATTCTGTCTCTTCTTGTTCTTCCATTTCTACGTCATCCAGTTCGTTTCTGCTTCTGAACGGATCTGCATGTGCCAGCATATGTTGTTCCATTTTCTCAAGTATAGCAGTTTTATATCCTTTTTGTATCAGGAAATTTGCTTCTTCTGGATCAGACTCTTTATTCTTTCTATACCATACCTTTTCTTTCGTTGCAAAGGTCATAGTTACTGGGACTCTGATTTATCTTCCCATTAATGCCAAAGAGCTCAGTTTTCTCCCCGCATTTGAAATGGATCTGTAACTTAGGATCATTTTTGGTAGATACGCTTCTATGCTTTCATTAAGTGGTGAGAATGCTTTTAATCCCATTTTTTATCGTTTCTACCATACTCTCCGCAATGTCATTAGATTGTGGGTGACATGGCGGTGTCTTGTATGGGATGCATCTATTCTGCTTTAACCACGCACATAAGTTCTCAACGCAAAATTCGGACGAATTGTCGATGACTATTGTCTGGGGTACTTCATTCCTTGAGAATATAGTTCTTAGTACTTGCTTTATTGTGGTGGTTTTTCTGTATTTTACCATGAGTCCACTAATACTAAGAACAATCTCCTATCCTTGATATGTGCGTGCTCCATGTGAACCCTAACCCATAGCTCTGCTTCCTTGGGCCATGAGTGAATTTTTGCTTGCTTTTTTCCCCGCATATTTTGGGCATCTCTTAATGTATTCCTTTACATCTTTTGAATATCCAGGCCACCAGGCTCATAACTTTAGTCTTTTTTGTGTTGCTCTTATGCCACAATGTACGCCACCATGTACTCTTTTAATGTCCCTTCTCAGTATTTGTAGAGCTATTATTATTTCCCCATTGCATATTATGCTATTTTCTATGGTTAATTTGCGCTTAGTTTCTTTAAAGGGTCGCTCTGCCACCGAAGAATTGCCCCATACATTTTTTCTCTCTGCTATTCTGCTTAATATTGGGTCATGCTTTGTTTCTATTTTGAGTCTATTTAGAGGAAGAACGTCCGTTTCTACCCAGTGTGTTATTTTATCTTCAGCATTTTTCCGTTTTTCTTCTGTTTCATACTTGAACTGTAATCTTGATAAAGCATCGACGTGAATGTTCCCTTTTACGTATATTATGTCAAAATCGAATGCCATGATCTTTATCACCCATCTTAAAATCCTTGACGATGTGACTTTTGGCAATTCTTTTCTTGGATTAAATATGAATTCTAATGGTTTGTGGTCAGACTTTAATAAGAATCTTTTTTCCTATCAGAACGTTTTGTGCCTTTCCATGTTCCATACAATCGTTAGTGCTTCTTTTTTTCAATATTCGAGTAGTTAGTTTCTGCTGACGTTAACCTTCTTGATATGTACATGATTAGGTGTTCTTGTAATAGAACAGCAGCAATCGCCTTTTCACTCACGTTTGTTGTTAAAATTACTTCTATTTGTGACTCAAAAACTTTTATTATTGGTTTGTTCCTCAATTTTTTCTTTTATGATTCAAAAAGTAAGAGTTTGCTTTTGTGTCCAGTTAAATTCAGTTTTTTTTTTGCGTAATCTTGCAAGATTACGCCAAAAAAAAAAAAAAAAAAAAAAAAAATCAAGTATGAAACGGAAAAATGCTGAAGATAGAATAACACACTAGAAGATGAATGTCGAACACACAAACGACCATGAAGTCAGAACTAGGTTTTATCACTGAATATCAAAGAGTGCTATTTGACCCCTCCAAGACATCACTGGAGATGCACAAGTGATTGTGACGCAAGTCTGGTTAGTAGGACATGTGCTTAGACTACCCAACTTTTCGAACGCTTACAATCTGCACTCTTACGATATTGAATCTTATCACAGCATGTGTCACTGTCTAAATATCAGATGTAGAATGTCGACATCGTCCTTCAGCTTGTTGCAATTTTTATTTACCGTCAGTATATTTTCTGATAAACATTAAAAGTTTGTTTAATTTTCAAAATAAAAATATATTTCTTTTTTCACTTAAGTGCGGAAATAATGAGGCCATTTGATATTGTATAATTCTATTTAGTCTTAAATATACAAGTTCAATTTTAAGTTTTTACATTGTAATTCGTCTAGGAAAAGAGTAATGAAAAGTGTTTATTTTAATAACATTTATGAGGAAAAAGAGAAAGAAAAGAAAAGAGAAAAAAGAAAGAGAGAAAGAAAAGAAAGAGAAAGAAAAGAAAAAGAGAAAGAAAAAGAAAAAAAAGAAAAAGAAAAAGAAAGAAAAAAAAAAAGAGAAAGAAAAAGAAAGAGAAAAAAGAAAAAAGAAAAGAAAGAAAAAGAAAAGAAAGAAAAAAAGAAAAGAAAAGAAAAAGAAAAGAAAAAAAGAAAAGAAAGAAAAAAAAGAAAAAAAAGAAAAAGAAAGAAAAAGAAAAAGAAAGAAAAAGAAAAAAGAAAGAGAAAGAAAAGAAAGAGAAAGAGAGAAAGAGAGAGAAAGAGAAAAAGAAAAAGAAAATAAAGAGAGAGAGAAAGAAAGAGAAAGAGAAAAAGAGAGAAAAGAGAAAGAAAGAGAAAGAAAGAAAGAAAGAGAAAGAAAGAAAGAAAGAGAGAGAGAAAAAAAAAAGAAAAAAAGAAAAGAGAGAAAAGAAAGAGAGAAAGAGAAAAGAAAGAAAAGAGAAAGAGAAAGAGAAAGAGAGAAAGAGAAAGAGAGAAAGAGAAAGAGAGAAAAGAAAGAAAAGAAAAAAGAAAAAAAAAAAAAAAAAGAAAAAGAAAAAGGTACCCCATTGGGTCGCGTAAAAATTACATAGCATGATGAAAAAAAACTCAATAAAAAGAAAGTTTTGTCATCAAAATGTTTATGTTAGATTTTCACCAAAATTTACAACGTAAAATAATAATAAAAAAAAAAAAAAAAAAAAAAAAAAAACTTTTTTTTTTTTTACGTCAGCAACGGACCAAAGATAAAGATTATTTTTTTGTTGTTGCGTTTTTCCTGTTAAAAACACATTGATTTGGAAATTCTCTCAAAATTCAGATAATTGTCGGATTTTAATGAAATTATTTTTTGAAATTTTTTTTTTAGAAAATCTTGGTAAAAAAAAAAAAAAAAAAAAAAAAAAAAAAAATATATATATATATATATATATATATATATATATATATATATATATATATTTTTTATATATTTACCTCCCACCTACAGAATTTTATGAAATTTCGAGAAATTAAATTTTCAAGGGCGAGGGGGTTTATTAGTTAAAAACAGGACTCCTTGGATAAAGTAAAACATTTTTTTTTTTTGAAACAGTTACTTGTTTCATCGAAATTCTGCTCTGAATTGTGAAATTTAAAAAATGCAATAAAACTATGACAGTATTAGAAAAGTTTTTAATTGCTTTTGTAAATAAGTTATAAGGATACTATTGTCTGAAGAAATAAAATTTTTTCGATGAATAATGAATTTTTACAAGAATTTTTCAATTTTTGAAAAATTTTTATTATAATAGTTCAAAAATCGTTTAAAATTCTTCATTCCTTTCACGAATGCAATTTGGTGGTCTCGTTAAATGAAAAGAAAAAAAGTTCCTAATTTCTACTATACATGACATAATCCTTAAAAAGGTCACGTGATTTAAGTGTCGTCTGATGCACTGCAATTATTTCAGTTTTAATTCAGTTCTTTCATCATTAACGTCTTTGCAAAACATCCCTTCATGATATAAAAAAAGGGTTAACTTAATTGCTATTTCACTAAATATTTTTATTTTATGTATTTATTTTAGTTTGAGTCATACTTCAATTAATTAATTTTTTGTTTAAGATAGTAAACTTAAGAACCTACATATGAAATGCAAATTTCATAAAGCTTCTTAAAAATTTAACTAAAAGTCAATAAAATATTAAATAATTGCTGAAAATATGTTAATTTGTAAAAATTACTAGGTAGTTAAAAAAGAAAATGCGTTCGCTTAGTTTTCGTAAATGTCATTTCTGGTCATTCATAAGAGCTGTCACCTTAAGAGCTTCTCCATAAATCAATAAAGATCAAAGAAAGATGAACCCATCGTTAAGAAATGCTTGTTCGAGGCAAGGCCATACCTTTAATACCCATTTAGGTATGGTCTTGGTTCAAAACGATATTAAAGAACTTGGAAATTCCAAAATTGATTGAAACTACTGCCAGTATACTGAGAAAAGTGCTGGAGATTTGAGTTAGATGATGCCACTCAATCAATTGCAACAACCACTAAAACACTCGTGTGAACAAAATAAATAAATAAATAAAATAAAAGAGTAGAAGAGAAAACAGTACTCACTTTCTTATTACAAAAGTTTCGGGCTGGAAGAGATAGCGCACGCCATGCAATGTACTGTTTTGTGTAAATTCCTGAACAGTTTCGATTTTATCTAAGATTTCCTTGTTATCCACATTCTTTTTCTTAGTTTTAATATCAACTACGGGTGTTTTTACAGGAATGAACGAATCCTGCTGAGGCGACGACTCTGTAGACAAAGTGGACATTCCTGTCAGCGTTTTTATAGCCTTTTAGCAAGACGGCAGTGCAACTGTAAACAGTAAACTTCTTAACGAACGAGGAGTAGAAGAAATTGTCGGCTACTCTTCTTATTCGTTAGAGCTTTTCATTTATTTTCAAAGTAAATTCTTCCAAATTTATTTAAAGCCTGGCCCTTATGGATCCGGCTAGCAGGCTAACTGGCTGACTACTAACATTAAGCGATAATTTATCACCATCGATGTTTCGCCTCTCTTTGTCTTCTCCCCCCTTTATGCTTAATTTAATAAGTACACCTACCAACTGCTCAGTCGGCTTTATTGGGATAGGGCAATTAGCAAAATATTAACCACACCCTCACAATGCAGGGGTGGAGAAAAATGTGTTTAATGAAGAACGAGGATTTTTATTTATATATTTCGAAAATAATGTTTTTGTTTATTAATATTTAGTTGGATATTTTTTCTAAGTATAATCGCGCCCACAGAAAAATATTTTAAAAGCATAATTGAATCCTTGGGAAAATTAACGAAAATATTTTTCTTTATTATATGAATTAAAAAAGTTTTTTTTTTCGCGAAAATAGATAGCATGACAAGAACGGTCTGAAAATTAACGGAAATTTTTTTTTTCATGATAAAAGTATATTTCATTATTGAGAAGAAACACTAAAGTATTTTTTTGAGTAATTTTTAAATTTTTTCTCATTCTTAGCATGTCCGAAATTTTAGTTAAAAACTTGTTTACAAAATAACGAACAAAAAAAAGCCATATTTTTTAAAATAAGTTAAATTCTTCGTTTAAAATTCGTTTAAAAATTAATTATACGTATTTCAAAATTTATTCGAAGAAACTTAGGAAATTTGAAGTTTATTTAAAATATTTTGAAAGCAACTTTTACTTACTTTCTTCGTAGAAAAATGTTTTTAAAGATGAAAGAGCCGATTTTAACGTCGTCGTCGATTGACAGAGTGCTGAGTGTTGACGTCTATAAATTATTGACAGCTGACGTGAGATTCGAGTTCTCATACGGAAGCACAGAATGGACATATTTTTTTAAGCGGACCTACTTAAGTAGTAACTTGTAATATTTAAAGTAAAAAACTTTCGCCATTACAATTTTTTTTTTTTTGTTATGTACTATAAGTTTGTTGATACTATCTGGAGAAATTATAAATACTATTAAAAAAAATTAAAATACAAGTGCTGCACTGCTGTTTGAGGGCCCATATAGACCCCTCTAAAATCAATTCAGATTTGCTATTATAAAAAAATTTCTATCCCCAGTAAAAATAATCAAACATAGTAAAAGTCATTTTGTCACAGCCTATATTCTCGGAAAAAATAAATAAATGGATTCTTATATTTTTAAGTAATATATATATATATATATATATATATATAAAATAAATAAATGACTTATCTGGAAAAATACCAGGGAAAGTTTATCTGAATCACATGAAAGTAGGTATTTTCTGAAAGCAAACAATATGTTTCATTTAAAAGTAAAATTGGCCAGTGTAAATGACTGAAATGTTTTTAGTTTTCTAGAGGCAAAATGTGGATCTTACTTATTATAAAACCAGGTTGTGTGTGTTACGTTTATATATTGGATCGAATTTCCTACATTTTTCAACCAATTTCAACCAAACATTACAGGACTACGATGAAAACTAGATGAAAGTACCTATTTTAACTTAATAAAAATGATAAAGAAAATGATGCACACGTGTTTCAGCAGGAACAGTTTGCTAAATTAAGGGGCCGTATACAGCGGAGAACAACTCTTAAATACTAGACAGAAACTCAATCCAAATGACATTTTTATTGCACGCACCAAACTTCCGGTCTTCCGTAGATTTCATTGGTAAACACATTGACAAATTAATTTTTTTAATATACGAAGACTCATTAGTTTGTAATAAGCTTTGGAAATTATAATCTGTAAATATATATCTACTTAAAAACAACATCCGTTAAGTTGTACAAGCTTTTCCATAATTTTAGAAGAATTAACAACATAATGTAAAAATAAAAATAATGGTTGCAGAAATAAAAAATAATTGTAGGTAATTGTTTTAAAATTTCATTTTTTATCGAAATATCTTTTTGCTTTCAGACAATATTGTCCATGTTTATTGGAATAAATAAAAGCAATTAAAAGCTTTGGAAATTAAATAATATTTTTGTTTTATTGAGTTTTGTATGTTACACTTCAGGGACGATTTTCAGGTAGAGGGGCTCCAACTAAAAAAAAAAAACAAAAACATGATTTTGTTTCCTCAAAGAACTGTGCTTTTAACTAATATAATCACTAAACTCCTCAAAATTGAAATTATAGAGTTTTCGTACAATTAGTTAGGGGGGGGGCTATTACAT